AGGAAGCCTTTCGCGGGCACAGGTGGGAAGGAGCGCCCGCGAGACGTGACGGCCCATCCCTCCGTCCCCCCCCCCGTGCCATCCGAAGAGCCTTCTTTACGAAGAGGGATGCCGAGGGATCGTGCCCGTTTAGTCGCTACCCAAAGTGGGAAGGTTTTTTAACACGATGCCCCTTTCCAGATGCAGTGTTGGGACTACTACAACTCCCACCAAGGTCAGCTGCAGATGTTCCTTTCACGATTTTGAAGTTGCCCTTATTTGAATACGGGGACCGGGCAAGGGTCAGCGTTTCTTTCGATCTAGTATTCCCTCTTCGTCAGGACGTGATACAGTACTCGCTGTCTCGTATTCCGCTAAACCGGGCAGGGAAAGTGAGAGAAACGGCGTGCGGGCAGGTGGACGGACACTAGAGGGCGCGCTTCCTGCCCTGCCTGGGACTCACCGGGAACTTACGAGGTGATAACCCAGCAAGGGCTCGCCAGGTCACCGCAGTGACACGATTTACAGCTTACCGACCCAGAAGCCTAGGAGCTTTCTGGCACTGACACAACAATCATCTTCCAGACGACTTTCCTGAGGGGAAGCTCGTGTTTTACTAACCATTCTTCTCCTGGCGATCTGGAGCAGAATGGTTTCTTTCCACAAGCACTTGGTTTTATCCTCATCCTTTGAGGTCGGAGTCTCTCTTTAGCATCCTATGAGGGAGTCCTGCCTGACATTTTTGCAAGGAATCTCTCTGTGGACCTTGAGAGATCTGAATCTTTCCTAGGTTCACCGCTGGACCTGAGCAATTAGCTGTCTGGTAGCATGCTTCCTGTTACCAACGAATGTGCTGTGTATGATTGTGTACAAGGAGTTCTTGCAGAAAATATGGAGATTTGTCCTTTCTTAGCCCCCTCCCCTTTCCCTTTGCCTCTCTGGAACAAAAGGGCAGAGGATCAGCTTCAAGGGGGCTGAAACAGCAACATGAGCCCAGGAACGCAAGTGCCCAATATTTATGTCTCTTGAGGGAGCTGTGTATCTGCAGTGCAATTTGGGATTATTGAGAAACGTATAGAGAAACATGCATATGGGTGGAGCAAGGTATAGCCGAAGGAAACTGCTCCTGATTCTATCACTCAGAAAGCGTTTCCCAAAACTGAGTTCACTGATGACAGAAAGCAAATGTTTTCAGGCGCTGGCTATGAAGAATGTAGTGTCCCTCCCACCTCCTACACTTAGCATTTTGTAGTGCTTGGCAAGGTATCCTTGGACCATGGGAAGGCTTGGAGTTTAATTGTCCACAGAGTTCTAAGCTGTCGGCTTGTTTATTTTCTCTCTCTCTCTCTCTCTTTCTCCCTCCCCCTATCCCTCCCTCCAAGGGCAGCATTCCATCCTATCCTCACTTGCCCTTCTCAGAAGAGCAGCAGGGAAGGGAAACAAACTGAGGTTGAGAGATGTTTGAAAACTAGAAAGGCAAGTATGTCTTCCCTCGTTTGTGTCCTGATTCAGTGCCTAAGGGCTGAAGGAAACAGGTCAGGTTGCTATATTATCCCAGGAGAGGACATGCTGGAGCAGCTACTTTTAATGGAAGGAGTTGGTTTTGCAAGACAAACAGATGGAGGATGCTTTGCCTTCCTGACAAGAGTTACAAGCTAGGTTTGGGGTTCAGCTGCTGGAGTTTTCCCAGAATGTAAGAAATGTAACATGCAGGCTTGAATGGCACAGGAGTGTATGAACTAGGGGAAGTTAAACCTTTTGCTGCAATGTAAAAGCTACTTGATACATTATACAACTGTTGTGTGTGGTGCAGTTATTGTCATGTAAAATAATAATAACAGTGTGTCATCAAGTCAATTCCAATTTATGGCAACCTTTCCTGGGGTTTTTAGGTATAGAAGTGGTTTGCCAGTCCCTTTTTCTGATGCACTGCAGGGCTATGCAACTTGCCCAGGACCACACAGGCACACTGGAGAATCAAACTCCTGATCTCTGTCTCCACAGCAAAGTACTTAACTCAGGGCGTGATTAGCCTGATTTACAGTGTGTGTTACACTTGAAATCACAGTCACTGCTCACACAGGGGCTATGAATTAGTACAGGATATAATGCAATTTGCATTCCAGCTCACAGCCTTCCTTCTTTTCTTCCTTCCTCTGGTCTTGCCTCTGCTGATCCTTCCTCTGGTCCTGCCTCTGCCAATCTGATAGGGAACTGACGGGTCGTAAATATGAGGAATAATAATGATCCCATGATAATGGGATAAGTAAGAAATTAACAAATACATTTTTGAAAATAGGAGAATGATCATGGGAGAGGAAATGGGTGAGGGTGTGTACCCCTGGTCCTGAACGCCACACCTCAACTGCCTATGTCACCAAACACTACCTACAGACATGCCTGTCATCCTGACAAGAAGATATCACAACTAACCACATGTGAAAAACCTGTTCGAATCATTCCGGCTTGAAAAAGTAGAAGCCCACCAACAGCGGTGGGGAGGGGGAAGAGATTCCCTTGGGAGCCAAAGGGACTGAACTGATTTGAATCAGCCTATGTGTCGTGTGGTCAGTAAAGAAGTTCTTTGAAATTCACCCCTTTTATAAGTGGAGCAAATCCGCTGGTATTTGTTCATGTAGTTGCAGTCTCAGCCAGCTTGGATTTTACGATGAAAGTGTAAAGTAGGGATGGGAAGCTTATGACTTTTTCAGACATCGTTGGGTGATAACTTTTACCATTCCTGAGCAGTAGCCCTGCTGGCAGGGGCTGTTATGAATTAAAGTCTAACAACTTGTAGGAGGTGACAGGTTTCTCTTTACATCTCCTGATGTAAAAGCATGTGGTGCAGATACATGTTTTCAAATGCTTAGACACAAGGCTTGGTTATGGCTGTCCACTGCATGTCCACTATAGATTTAGAAATATGCACCTTTTTTCATGATTCATTAATTTCCTGCTGAAAATACCCAGATATCATGGATGTAAGTTCCAGCAAGCATGATTGCTATATACAGTGTGAAGCAGTGGTATGTAGGTCTTTGTCAGAAGTTCAGTTTAAGGGCCCAGGAACTTCACTACAGACTTGCTGTACTCCTTTATGTTTTTGCAGCTTTGAAACTGTAGTAAACATTGTGCTTTCTCCAGTCACATTCATGCCTAGTGACAGTGCTGTGTGAATTGTGGTTACCTAAATTACATGGCAAGAGAGAGACAAGAGGGCCTTCTTAAATGAACAATGCAAAGAAATAGAGGAAGATAACAGAAAAGGAAAGACCAGAGATCTGTTCAGGAAAATTGGAGATATTAGAGGAACATTTTGCGCAAAGATGAACATGATAAAAGACAAAAATGGGAGGGACCTAACAGAAGCAGAATGTCCACTATAGATTTAGAAATATGCACCTTTTTTCATGATTCATTAATTTCCTGCTGAAAATACCCAGATATCATGGATGTAAGTTCCAGCAAGCATGATTGCTATATACAGTGTGAAGCAGTGGTATGTAGGTCTTTGTCAGAAGTTCAGTTTAAGGGCCCAGGAACTTCACTACAGACTTGCTGTACTCCTTTATGTTTTTGCAGCTTTGAAACTGTAGTAAACATTGTGCTTTCTCCAGT